ATAATTAATGTTGATGGGATAGATGTAATGTCAATTACAATATTATTTGTTTGATCATTTTTGTTTTATCATTAAAAAAGTTGGTTAATAAGACTGCCAAAATTAAAGTTTTAGAAAAACTTGTTAAAACAGATCATAGAGATATTGAGACCCAGACAGAAGAATTTAAAGGTGAACCAATCTCAGCATTGCATTATATGGTTACAGAGAAAAAGCCTAAGGCTTTCAAGCAGTCAAGCTTAATCTATCCAGTAACCTTACAGGACCTGCCAAATGCTCAAGGCTATGTAAGAGCTGACTGGACTCTTATGCAAATGATAGATTTGAGGAGATTCAAAGAAGCTATAGTGTCATATGGTATGCATTCCCCACTTGTGAAGCAGATGTTAAACTCATGGTCAACTTGTAATAAAACTATCCCTCAAGACTAGAGATATTTGGTTACAGCTATCTTAGAAGCTGGTCCTCAGTTACATTGGAGAACCTGTGGAAGGATGAGGCTAAGACCATTGAACAATGAAGTGGGCTAGAGGTATGGAAATATCCCAAGACTAACTTTTTGGAGAGGGAGATTATGTTAATGTATAAAGGTAATCTCTATATGATGACCACACTCTGACTTTATGCTGAATGGCAGCCTTGAATGCTTAGGACAGAATTGAAGAAGTAGGAAAGAAAATTGAGTCATTTACAAAAGTTATGAGAGCCCAGAAGAAATTTTCACTGATTTCTTACAAAGATTGACTTCAGCGGTAAGTAGAATGACACCAAATTCAGAAGCTAGACAGATAATAATTGAATTTCTGGCTTTTGAAAATGCTAATGCACAATGCAAAAGCGTAATTAGGCTGTTAAAGGCAAAATCAGCACCCTTGGAGGAATGGATCTGAGATATAGTCAATACTGAATCTCATAACCATGATGATACTTGGCTAGGAGAGGTGATTTTCCAGAGGTTTAAAGAAAAATAGTAATGTCAGATGTTTCAAATGTGGTAAACAAGGTCACCTAAAAAAAGACTGTAAACAGGGCATTCCTAGAAACAATGTTTTTTCAAGGAATATCCCAACAGAATGCCCCTCCCTTCTGGATTATGCAGAAGGTATGGCAAAGGCAGGCATTGGACTAATGAACATAGATCTGCAAGGGACAGACAAGGTAATCCTTTGCCTTTGCTCGTGGGAAACTCCCTGATGGACCTCTTGCAGGCCCCCATGATAAATTTGGTTCAGTCCTTTCCTGCTGTCATAGAAGATACTCCTTCCCAAAGCAATTAAAGAACCTAATGCCTGTTGTAAAAAAACCATACTGCTCAGGGTGATAGAACAGCTACAGAAAAGGGAACAAAAATTTAAGGAGAAACCATAAGTCAGAATTGATAAAGATTAGTAGATTTGGAACCTACCCAAAGTTAGGGTTGGGGAACGGTTTTGTTTTTTTCTTTCAGGAGAATGAAGATTAAGGAATCTGAAGAACACTGGATAAATGAGATATCTGAAGAAAAAGGACAAACATCCAGAAAAAAAAAGTCTCAAGAGAAAGAGTAAATTGGCCTATTGATATATCACATATCTAACAGGATAAATTTTCATAAGTCTTTCTAAATGTTTGTTTCTACTGTTATCTACAGACACATAATACAAATGGTCTTTATGTAGTACCAATTCAATTAAAAATTAAGGCTGGCTTTGGAGTTGGAGCATGGCTCTCTCCTTCTCTACCAACCCAAGCTTGGTAAAAGAAAATGCAAAATCTCTGTATCATGTCAGAAGAGCCACCTGATAAGGGACAGAAGGAAAACCAAAATTAAGGGACTCTTCTATCACCACTAATCACATAATTCTTTGGTTTTATTTTGACTCTTTAAAACTTTTCTTAAGGCATGAAATTTATGTCAAAATTTATAAGATTAATATATATATATATTAAAATTTTGTCATGATATTAACGGTTATATAGAGTACTAACTAATTCTAGAAAAAGGGCTTCATCAAGCTTCCTGTACATGATTTTGGGTTTGAGTATCAGTTTTCTGCAGTGAACCATGACCATGCCTAACAGTGACTTTTAAGTCTCCAAAAAGGTGATGGGGCTCCACAACGATGATGATTCCATCAGGACAATGATAATACCACTAAGCTGACAAACACCACTCAAAGATGGGCTTTGGACTATAAACTGCTCAGGACAATTTCAAGGTGACTAGCTGAGATGATCCAGCCTCAGAGACTGCTCTAGCCAGGACTTGAGACAAGCCCTGCATTTTCCCATTATGCAGAGACTGGACAACAATTGATACAGCTACCTCTCCCAGGACTTGACAATTAACTCAAACTTTTCTTTTCAGGATCCTCTAAAGATGTCATTGCCCTCAGACAGCAGGAAGTAATTTTAAAAACAAGATGCCCACATTCCCAAGGGGTGAGGTGGGTGGTTTTCGTTCATTCAATGGGTTATGGATAATTGTCATTGTTTTGGATGATTGGTTACAAGTTGTTAATTGATAATGGCCAAAAAAAAAAAAAAGAGAAAAAGGTTAAACAACGGAGAGTAGATTTAGGATTCTTGTTTGAAAACAAAGAAAAAAAGAGGATATAGATATAAGATAAAAGGTAGAATATGGATATGATAAAAAGGTAGATTATTGAATCTTCTTTTAGAAAGCAACTACTAATTTTAAATATTTTATATTGAATTGAATTTTTGTATATTGATACAAATTTGAGATTAATTTTGTTAGGAAATACTGTACATATATTTCTAATCCTGTTCAAGGTATTGTGCCTATACAGCTCATTTAACAATGTAATGCAAATTGCTAGTACTTGAAAGCTATTATTAACAACTAATTAGGACATAAAGAAATGCAGGTTAGTATTTAGTCACCTATTACAATGGAACTTGTCAGGTTAGATATGTTTTCAAAGTCAAATAGAAATATATTTGAGATAAACGGGTCATCTTCAAACACTTCAGAGATCTACAGAATATGGCATTTAAGAATGAAGTCCAAGCCCACAAGATGCACAAGGTATGTGAATCTTCTAGAAGCCAGTCCAGGTTGTTATATAGGCAATAAACAGTTGCTAGTGCTGCAGTTGCCTGAAAGTTGCTCAAGTTACTCATGCTCCTGCAGCTCCTTACCCACATGCTGTAAATAACCCTCATAACATGCTCATTGTTTCATCAATCTTGACTTAGATCTTATCAGCTCTTTGGTCTGTCATTGCACTGTCTGTCTGGGACGAACTATTTACTGCTGTAGTCTCCCAAGAAGATTCCCACAACAGCCTTGCACCTTGTTCCATCTTCAACACAGAATGCTGCAATCTCCATGTTAAGGTTGTGTCACAGTGCCAGGACCTCAGAACTGCACCATTGTCACAGCTCCCTTTAGATAGTCCTGTTTGATGCCCCTGCTGGTCAAATCCAGCCTTTCTCTTGCCTTAGCCTAGATGATCTGGTCCGTTCTCTAGAAATGTATTTTAGGTGAAGGCAGTGGTGGGCTGGTAGCAAATAAACTCAGAGATGGACAAGAAACTTGGAAGTCTCCACCTCCTCTCCATCTCTTATGCCGAAGCCCTTTTATACTCTGCTGAGTGGATATCCTGCTTGCACTCTTTGGTGGCAGAGACACGTGGCCTAGCTTTCTGAGAAACTGGTTGTTGTTGATTTCTTCCTATGATCTGTGTTAATCAGACTGGCCATCACTGTGATAAACACCTTAATATTTCTCTTAGCTCCTGGGTTCAGAGGCTTCAATAAATATTCCTTGGATCCATTGACTCTGAGCCTGTGAGGCAGGGCATCTGGACAGGAGGAGTGTCTGACTGAGGCTACTCACTTTGTGACAGATAGGAAGCAAAGAGAGAAGCAGAGACCTCAGAGTTATGTTCCCAGTGACCTATTTCCTCTAGTCTCACCATTTAAAGCCTCCATCACTCCCCAAGCCGTCATCACCAGCTGGAGACCAAGTGTTTACACTGAGCCTAGTGGGCACTACATGCTCAGTCTGCAACAAGTTCACCCATGCCCCAGCCCACTGCTCTTTAGTTCATGCTGGAAGTCACAATAGAGAGTGTGTTTGGGGTTCACTAGGTTCACTACAGTGTCCCATGTGCCTCTGATCTTCTTTTTAAAAATATTTGTAGGAGCATGTATTATTATACACAATCATAAGTTTTATTACAACATTTCCATACATGTGCACATGCATTTCAATCATCTCCACCCTCCTATCATCTTCTTCTGCCTCCTCCCATCCCTTCCTACTCCTCTTGATATCTCTCTTCCTCCTAACTGGTTCTTCTTTGACTTTTATGGTGTGTGTGTGTGTGTGTGTGTGTGTGTGTGTGTGTGTGTGTGTGTCCGTGTCCCAGTACGTTTTATTAGGATTACTTCAAAGAGCATGGGGAAATGTTTGTTCTAGGAGCATGGGCACATAACTAGTAGCTAAACTGCTAAACAAAATGTCTCTTGGTCCCTCATTAACCTTTAACTGCATATAAATCCTCTGGGAGAGGTGGGACCCCTTGAGCTCCTCCCTACTCCATGAAATCTAGTACAGGTAAATTAATTACTAGTTACTGTGAGTTCAAGAGTGCAACGGCCATCTCATACCCAGAAATTATATTCCACACCCCACCTCTTATGTTCTTTCTGTCCCTTCTCCCATAATATTCCCCGAACCTCTGAGGGGGTGGTAGAAATGTCCTATTTATTTATGGAGCATTCGACAATCACTAATTCTAAGAACATTGACCAGCTGTGAGTCTCTGCAGTTACCACTGACAACCGCATACAATGCTTCTCTGACAGAATCCCAGAGCTCTTCTGCCTTTCTTTCTCCCCAGTCACCCTATACTACTTCAAGGAAGATGAACATCCTGTTCACAGCTCCTTATAGTGTCTGAGACATAGCAAGCATCCTGTAAATCTCAACCAAATGAATTGATAAATGAATGAAGTCAATCAAACTGTGCTGTTCTCTCTCCAGTTACCTTCTCCATGTTGGCCCAGTGATCTATCACATCACTAGCGAAGTTGGACTTGGCAGGTACTTCCTGGTGGCCCCACTGTATGGACATTTGTTTCTTGATATTAATATGGAATGTATGGCTGAACATTTCAGTACCCCAGAGGGCATAATATCTTGGAATTTTCCACAGCCAATGCATGATCAGAGCTGTGAAGAAAGGAGGTGATGTAGGTGAGCTCTTTCCTACTAGATTGTGATACTCACCATCAGCTAGTGAAGAGAGTTGTTCCCATCCGCTGGGGTCGATTGGGTGCATTTGTGAGCGGATTTAATTGACACTGAGTCCCTGGTTCAGTCTCCTTCTGTGTGCAATTCTTCTAAAGCCCCCCCTCCAGCTCCTGCAGCAGTTCTGTGGATTTCTAATCCCAGGTGACATACCATTTTAGCTTAAAGTGTGAGTGGTGAATTGTTTTGTGGCTCCCATTAATCTGTTTTCTTCCTGTAGTAGAATTATATCACTCTACTCATTGCCACGTGACTTCTCAGTGCAGTGTAGAGGGAGAACCCATATTCCTCTCTTGTTGACTTTGACTGGCTAGGGAGATATGCTCTGGTTAATAGGGTGAGTAAGGGTTGGTCAGATTTGCATTTCTACCCCTACTGTGTGTGTGTGTGTGTGTGTGTGTGTGTGTGTGTGTGTGTGTGTGTGTGTGTGTGTGTGTGTGCTTGAGCACTGTATGAATATGCATGCACAGGTGTGCACATGATCATGCCTGTGAGTGCATGCAGAGGCCAGAGGATGACACTGAGTAACTTTCTCTATGTCTTATTCCCCTGTGACAGGGCATCTAAGTGGCTCTAGAACCTGTCATTTCTCGGGTAGGCTTGCTGGCCAGAGAGCCCCAGTGATCTTTTATCTCTACCCACCTCCCCCAGCACCAGGCTCACACAGACACACACAATTTTTTACATATATGCTGGGCTTCTGAACTCATGTTCTCATGATATTGCTGTATATATTCTTACCCACTCTGCCATCTCCCTACCACCATTTCTGGGGCTTTCCATGAGAACTACATGTGCCTCAGATGAGCACCAACCTTCTTCCTGGGTCCTAGAATGATGACATAAGGAACTAAGCTAAGCCCAGTGTGGCCACTTCCAACCTTCAGTTATTTCTCAACTAAGTTTTGTGGGCACATCCTAGATCTGTATTTAGAAGGGAATATGTGTATGTTTGAAAGCTATGAAATGCTTGGGATACTTGTAATGCATCAACTGTTGACTAATACACTTGTTCATTGGAGTTAGTTTGGAGTGGCATATCTGAAAAACTGTGCATGTAAAGTGCAGGATCTAATGTAAACAGCAACTTACAGAATTATAGCCTTGTTATTACTACTTTCAGCTTTATTAGCTCCAGGGAAAGGTGTTCCAAGGCTATATACACTGGTCTTTGAATTCTGTCATGTGCTCTTGGATGAGACTGCAGAATTTTAAGCCTAGTGACCTTTGAGTCAGATAATCCAGCCAACAATCTATCCTCTTGGCTGGATTCCCAGCCCCTTGGTCTAGGCAGAGGCCATTAGAATGCTCGTCTGTGGCACTTACATGTTCTCTCCTGCTTTCTTCAAAGAAGAGGTGAGAATTTCCTTCCCAGGCCTGGCCAGCAATACCTAGTGCCTTCATGGTTGCTGCTCTCTCCCTTTCGGTGGCTGCCTCCTCCTTATCTTCTGGCCTCACCTCTTCAAATAAGCATATACTCCTTCAACTCCAGTTACTCACAGCTTCTGTCTACACCCCTGCCCAGCTCTCTAAGTCCGCCACTTTTAATTGGCTGAAGGCCTCTTTCCTCTATCCAATGTTGTCCCCTCCAGTAAGACCCTGCGACATTTCCTTTGTGGTTCCTAGGAGTTTTAAGAAGACTTCCATTGGGGAGTTTTCACTCTCCTTGCCAGCTATTACTCCTTAGGACTGGTGAGGGTCATTATGATGCATGCCCCCACCCCTTCTGTATCTTGCATAAACACTCACCTGCCAAGCCTCTTCTGGAACTCTCTCTGGAGGTAGCTTGGTCTACTTCCCTCTTAGGAGGTAGTTCCAGAGCTCCTGTAGCCCTGGAGAAGAAAACAGCACTGAAGCGGACAGTTCCCAGATCAAAACCAAGTAGCCTCTGAGGGCTCAGCTAATCATTAATGGTGCATAACTCTGGGTCAATGCTACGCCTCCTAGTCAAGTTTATGTGCAGCACAGTCTTTGAGTCTGTGGAGGGGGTTCACCTGGACTGGCTCATTAACCCAAGGGATCAAAATGGGGTTTATTCCCATGATTGACAGCAAGCTTTTTCTCTAACTAGGGGAAGAGAATGGAGTTGCAGAGGCTCTAGACTCTGTTTCACTGCCTTTCATCTTATTTGTTTGGCTTCCACCAAGGGTCTCTTTTTCCTGTTCTGTCTGCGACACTCGCTCACTCAGTGTCACAGCTTGGATCCAGGCCTCTTGCCAATGACCCCACAAGTGTGTCTCTTGGCTAGATCTCTCTCCTGGGAGTTCATGTGTTTGATGTCTCTACTTGGATATCTAACAGGTTTTTAAGAGTGGATTCAGATAGCGCCAGGCCTTCTAGCTCTAAACCATCCTATGCATCTGCGGCCTTTACCCGAAGATGGTCACCCTATTGTTCCCACTCGCCCTGTGTGAAATCTCAGGCTTGCAACCCTTTATGCCTAGATCTGGTGAATCTATTAGTTCTGCCTTCCAGCTGGGACTGCAATCTGTCTCACTCCCTTCAGTGTTCCAAACCACCACTTTCCTATCTGCTTTAGGGCTACCGTTACTGTGATGAAACACCATAACCAAATGCAAGTTGGGGAGGAAAAGGTTTATTTGGCTTACACTTCCACATTGTTGTCCATCATCGAAGAAAGCAGGACAGGAACTCAAACAGGGCAGGAACCTGGAAGCAAGAGCTGAGGAATGCTGTTTACTGACTTGCTCACATGGCTTGCTCAGCCTGCTTTCTTATAGAACCCAGGACCACCAGTCCAGGGATGGCACCACCCACAATGGACTGGGCCCTTCCCCATCAATCACTAATTGAGAAAACGCCTTATAGGTGGATATTATGGAGGCATGTACTCAATTGAGGTTCCATCCTTTCGGTTAAACTAGTTTGTGTCAAGTTGGCATAAAACTAGCTAGTGTACTATCCACAGGAGCATTTTTGTGTCCCCCCCCCCCTTGAAGTTTGTTCTCAGAATGAGCCTGACTTAGCTCAATCAGATCACAGAGTATTCTGAGTAAGATACCAGGTCTTTGCTTGCTGTTGTCTACAAGGTCGTCATTACCTCCTGCTTCCCCCGTCCAGTCAATGGGCCTCTTTGTCATCCTGTCTCCATGCCAGACACACGCCCTGACATTCAGATGACCAGTTCACCTGCTAGCATCACATTCTTTCTGAAAGTCATCTGTGCTGGTTAGTTTTTGCCAACTTGACACAAGTTAGATTAATCTGGGAAGGGGTGACCTTAGTTGAAAAAAAAAATACACCCATCAGATTGGCCTGTAGGCAAGTCTGTGCAGCATTCTCTTGATTAATGATTGATTTGGGAGGGCCCAACCCACTGTATGGGGTGCTATTATAGGGTGGGTGGTCCTGGGTTGTATCTATTACTTATAACGTATTACTTATACAAACATATACTATGTATAAATATATAAATAAATATACATCTTATAACTACACACACACACACACACACACACACACACACACACACACACACATTTCACAATTTCCTGAGCAAGCCATGGGACTGAGCCAGTGAGCAGTGGTCTTCTATGGCCTCTGCTTCAGTTTCAGCCTCCAGGTCCTTTCTGTAAGGTCCTGAACTGGCTTCCCTGCATGATGAACTGTAAACTGTAAGATGAAATGAATTCTCTCCTCCTCCAGTTTCTTTTGGTCATGGTGTTCATCACAGCAGTAGAAAGCAAATTACAACATTCATGCTTTTGTTTTTGTTTACATTTATGTACACACACACTTTAACATCCTTACATCCTTTCTGACAGTTTATAAGTACATACACTATGTTGTGATCATACTCACCCCTTGCCCTCTCCATGCCCCCTACAGCTGCTGACTGCCTTCTTCCCTACAAGTCCACTCCTTTCACATCTTTTTTTTTTGGAGGGGGTGGGGCTTTGTTTTGACCCACTCAATTTAATTAGAGTTTCTTGTATGAGCATGGACAGGGCAGTATATACTGGAGCAGGAGCAACTCACCAATGCCTCATTGTTGAAGAAAATGACACCTAGCTTTAGAAGGCAGACTCCAGCACTCATGTGGCCACTCTTCCCCACCAGCTCTAGAAGTCCTCCGTAGTGATGACCATGGCTATACCCCCATCACTCCCTGAGAACTTACTCTATGCCTGGCATCATTTACCTAGGTTTCTCTCAGCTTTCCCTGATTTCCACCACATGGTTGTGATTATAGGTTTAACTTTATACCATCTGTGCAATTCGCCAACCCATTTTAAAAAATAACTTCATGTTAGTTGATAAAGTACTCCTGAAAGGACAAGTCTGGAATGATGTCATCTTCCTTTTAATGCACATCAAAATAACAATAAATGTGAGACCACATGCCTAAAACAAAGTCACCTTGCAAGCTCACCATGTCCATACCCACAGTCTAACTCCATCCTAGTGCTCTGAGAGCAAAGCAACCTGAGGAAGGAGAAGAGAAAATGAAAAAAGGGAAAACCAACTTCAGAAGGAATGATTTGGGTTTACTGATGGTTTGAGGAGCACAGTTCTTCATGGTGGGGAAAGCATGTAGCAGGAGCATGTTGCAGCTGGTCCCACTGTGTGCAGTCAGGGAGCAGAGATGGACAAATGCAGGTGTTCATGCTGCCTCTTTTATTGATATGCTGGATCATACCCTGAGGTGTGTAGCTAATTCCAAATCCTCTCAACTAGGAAATAAAGATCTCTCTCTCTCTTTCTCTCTCTCTCTGAATACACACACACACACACACACACACACACACACACACACACACACACACACAAATTCACACATACACAGATATCTTCACTCATACACAGAGCCAGACATTCAGACATTCATAACAGTTGTGCACACAAACATATAAGGCACATTCATACATATGCAGAAGCAGTCATCTATGTAGC